TAATTTTCTGTAGTAGTTGATAATTCATAGCAAAAACAGAACCACCCAACATAAATCCGTACTGAATTTACTATATTAATGCATTAAAAAAACAATTCTTGAACAATCTATATGCTTTAAAAAAGGATGTGTAAATATTGATAAGGTATGACTTCTGCTGGTAACTTTTAAGTAGTATCAGCAAGAATTTTGACAGATTTTTGAGTTCAGAATAAGCTCTGAACTGCTAACCACAAGATCAGTGGTTCAAACTCACCAGCTCTTTCTCAGAAATCCTACACTAGGTCACTAAGAGTCAGAACCGACGCTAGGGAACTTAACAACAACCATCTACACAACACCAACACCATCTTTATGGCGTCCTGGTGTGACATTGTAGGGTAAGTACTAGACTGCTAATCACAAAGTCAGTGGTTTAAACCCACCAGCCACTCCTTGAGAACCCCATACAGGTCGCTATGAATAGTACACACCTAGTATAAAGATTCTGGTGGTGTAAAATGTCATCAAGTTGTTTCTGACTCATAGTGATACTCTGTATAGGGTTTTGGAGCAGCAGCTGGTTTGAACCACCGACTTTGTGGTTTGCAGTCCAATGCTTATTGTTGTTAAGTGCTATCAAGTCAGTTCCGACTCATAATGACCCTGTATAGGGTTTTGAAGGATCAGCTGGTGGGTTTAAACCACCACCTTGCCTTTCAAACCAACCTTGTGGTTCAGTGCTTTAGCCTTCAGCAGGAACTCAAAAATCTGTTAAAACCTCTTGCTGACACTACATAAAAATTACCAGTAGAGGTCATACCTGCTCAATATTGTCACATTTTAAGCATATAGATTGCTGAATAATTGTTATTTAATACATAAATCTAAGTTCAATAAGACTTTATGTTAGGTGATTCTGTTTGATTTTGTTTTCTATTAGGTGATTTATTTTGGGTGATAAGTCATAGGAAGTATCAACTACTGTATAAAGACTTACGGATGGAAGAATTAACTATTGTATAAAGACTGTATGAATGAAAGAATTAACGACTGTATAAAGACTGTACAAATGAAAGAATTTACCATTAAAATCATGCTGTTGTCAAGTGCCATCGAGTCAGTTCCAACTCACAGCGACTCTGTATAGTGTTTCCAAGGAGCAGCAGGTGGATTTGAACCACCAACCTTGCATTTAGCAGCCCAGTGCCTATCCCAGAATGCCACGCCAGTACTCCATTAAATCACTATTGTTAAGTGTTGTCAAGTCAGTTCCAACTCATAGCAACCCTGTATAGGGTTTTTGAGGAGCGGCTGGTGAGTTTGAACGGCCGACCTTGCAGTCCAGTGCATTAGCCCAGAGCGCCACACCAGGACTCCATTAAGTCATGTTGTTGTTGTTAAGTACCGTGGAGTCGGTTTCGACTCATAGTGACCCTGCACAGGGTTTCCAAGGCTGTAAATCTTTACGGGAGCAGAAAGCCTCCTCTTTCTCCCGCAGAACAGCTGGTAGTTTTGAAGTGCCGACCTTGAGGTTAGCAGCCTGATCCATAACCACTACGCTACCAGAGTTCCTTGAAGTCATAGTGAGTTTTATTTAATATTTGATGAAGGATTCACTCTTGCATCAGCATAAACATTATAAAAACACATTGGTCAAGTTCATGAAAATGTGTATTTGGATTCTAGGTAGGTGAGTACTAACATTAAATACTAAGTATAAAAAAAACTAAGATAGACATTCTTTTTTATCAAAAGATTGTTTTTTCTCTCAAGGAAATGGGTCCTGATGAATATGAAGAGATGGAAGAGGAAGAAGAGGAGGAAGAAGAAGAAGATGATTCAGGAGATATGGATGAGTCAGATGAAGAAGATGAGGAGGAGAGACGGAGGAGAGTCTTTGATGTTCCCATTCGTCGACGCCGCTGCTCTCGCCTTTTTTAGCAAGGCTTCTGCTCATGGAAGCACTGGGATGAACCCAGCCTGTTAAATAGATTTATCAATAATGTCAATAACTAAATTGTTTTCAGCATATAACAGGAAAACTAGCATGAAATATTGCTCCAGGCCCTGAGTTCTGTGTGGCACTACGTTAGGAATTGGATTGTTTTCGTTTGCTTTGTGTTTTTGCAGTGAAGGAGCACATGGGAGTCTTTTTTTCTTTTCTAGAAGTCATTGGAGGAATAGTTCTCTAGCTAAGGAACAGACATTTCTTTGTTTTAAAATATTTTATACTTTTAAAAATAGAGAAATGAGAGAGAATTGTTTTGAATAAGGATTTAAAATATAGCAGAAATACTATACATGGATAGAGAAAAACTATGTCACTGAATAATTCTGTGAAAAGACTTCTTGCAGTTGTGAGTTATTTAGAAATGAATACCATTTGTAATTAGGCTAATCCAGTTAGTGATTCCTATATATTTTCTACTCACAGGGAACGAATTGACTAAATAACTTGAATGCTAGTGGTCTGTCCTTTCTTAGACAATCTGTCCTTGAATTTGAAGTCTTTATCATTAAGACCTTGAGTACTACCAACCTTTATCATATATTTACATATGCATCACTTTTGAAATGTAGTGTGTAATAAAGTATGTAGTGTATTGTTTACTAACAAAAGATTGTTGGCAATGTTTCATGTAGTCTAAATTTGTAAATACTGTTTCTGTTTTGTTTCTCCTTTATAAATTTTGCTGTCTAGCTTTGTGATAAGTGACATGAATTTTATGTTAAGATTAAGTGTGTTTTCCTGAAACCTTTTTTTTTTGTAATTATATAATTGAGAATTTGGAATGAAACCCTTTAAGTGTGAAAAGCTCACATTTTAAAAACAATTTTGGTTCTGATTGTTATTTTGTGTATTTGTGCATTTTGCATAAACTGATAGTAATAAGGTAGAAGATGCTCTTGAGGTGGAAGATGGGGTGAATGGATGTACTTTGGTCTGCTGCCTAAGTGTAGCAGGCTCATCCAAAGTCATTTCTTGGTTTTGATGATACCCTGCTAAGTGCTCTATCACCTTTTCCTCCCATATTTATTTTGTTCAGGTAATTACAGTGACTTCTAACACCAACTTTTTGGAAATAGGCCAAACTTCACAGGTTAAGGGCACAGTCCTGTGAAAGACTCTTCTGTCTTCTGAGACAGTTGACAAGCTTGGGGGTCCCCAGGCCATCTTCACTCTTGATCAACTGGCTACAAATTCAGGGCCCCAGCACTCCTTTAGAACAACTCACAGAACTCCATGAAAGTACTCTACTTAAAGTTTTATTATAGCAAAAGGATCAAAATCAGAATCAGCTAAAGGGAAAGCCTCTTAGGGTGAGGTCTGGGAGAGTCCCAAACAGGAAACTTCTGTGGTCCTCTTCCCATGGAATCAAGACACATCACTCTTTCAGTGCATTCGTGTGTGACAATGTACACAATATTGTCTTATCTGGGAAGCTCCCTAGAGTGTTGGTGTCCAGGGTTTTTATTGAGGCTTCAACACATAAGCATGGCTTCACAGTGGTGATACCTGGCTAAATTTCAAGCCTTTAATCATATGATTGGAGTCCTGGTGTGGCACTGTAGGATAAGTACTGAACTGCTAACCACAAGGTTGGCAGTTGAAATCCACCAAGTGGCTCCTTGAACACCTTCTACAGGGTCATTGAGTCGGAACCAACTTGATGGTACTTGTCAGCAACAGTCATATGGTTGGAGTACTGGTATGGTGCTGTAGGATAGGCACTGGACTATTAATCCAAAGGTTGGCAGTTCAAAGCCACCAGCCACTTCTTGGAAATCAGAGGCGGAACCCACATGACTACAGATAACATCAACAGCAACTATCATGTGGTTTTTCTTTTGGGTCAAACCAACCCTGATCCTGAGTCAGCATACACTATCATGGTGGTCCACCATGAATAACAGACACTGGTCCAAGGGTTTAGAGGTTACTTTCCAGGAACCTGGAACAAATCCAGATTGTTAATTATAGAAGAATATAGGGATACACAGCACCATGAGGAACCATGAAGGCAAAATTTGCTGTGATATTTGGCACATGTTAAAATGTTCTGAAACGAGTGCATCTATTCTTCACTATTAGCATGGTTAGGTTCCAAAGAGCGGGTCATTATGTGAAAACGGAAGGTGACCATATAAGATCATAAAACAGGAGGACTACATCATTACATAACTGCCAAACGACCAAGAATCCTGGCCCAGCCCAGTGGACAAAGCTTTAACCAGCACAGCCAGCGTTACTCTTTCCTGGCACCCTCAGCACAGACATATGTGGTTAATGGGAGAAATAGTAGGATACTATTATCAATGTGAAATGCAAGAGAACATGATAGCTGATAAGGGAGGAGTAAGTGTAATTCACTTCCCTGCTTGCTTTTCATGTAATAGAATCATACTGGGCTTCCAGATCCTTCTGTTCTTGCTATCTTTGATTTTTTTAAATCAGCTTACTGATTTAAAAATTACACTTAAGCAGTAATTAAAAACTAGTTAAGGTTGCGAGTTAAGCTGGCTGTAGAACTTCTTTACATTCTTTGCTTTTCTGGCTCAGTTCTGTTTCATTTAATTTACTTATGTAACCTCCAAATTCTTGCTTCTCAATGCTTCATGCTTATCCTGCAACAAAATTTCCATTCTCTTAGTTTGTCAAATAAATGACTTCTAATTCCTCTGGTAGCATAGTGGTTACGATTCGGGTTAGTAGCCTCAATGTCAGCAGTTCGGAACTACCAGCTGTTCAGCATGAGAAAGATGAGGCTTTCTGCTCCCATAAAAATTTACAGCCTCAGAAACCCTATACAGGGTCGCTATGAGTCAGAACCAACTCCACAGCACATAACCACCAACCATAACCAATTCACATTATGAACTGCAAGTAAGCCAAAAGTCTGTCTTGGAAGAAGAGCCAGAGTACTTCTTCTACGGGAGGATGGTGAGACTTTGTCTCATGTACGTTGGACATTATACTAGGAGGGATAAGTCCCTGGAGATGAACATTCTGCTTGGTAAAGTAGTAGAGGGTAAACAAACAGAGGAAGACCCTCAAGGAGATGAATTGATATAGTGGCCTGCAAAAATGAACTCAAGACGCCCCTCCCAAACACATAAACCAGCCGACGCCACCGTAGTCCTTTCTCAGGCCCCGGAGCTCCGCGGGCGACGCGTCTGCCCATATTGGCCAGCGTGACCTCCGGGGCTGTTTCCCACGCTGTGACGGCGACGCCTGCGGCCGCGGGAACACACCAATCATTGCTGTCGCCAGAGAGCCTGGTGACCTCTTGGCCGCCCGCCCGGGAGGTTCAGATGGGGCAGGCGAAGAGCAACGCGAAAGCTAACGAGGGCGCTTCTGCCTCTCCTCCTGTATGGCGCACAGCTCCAGCCGCCTGCTGGAGAGCCTGAATCACCTGGAGCTCAGGGTTGAAGCTTTGAGAGAAGCAGCAAGTGCTGTTGAGCAAGAGAAAGAAATCCTCCTGGAAATGATCCAAAACAGCCAGGACATAAGTCAGATCAGCGATGGAGAAAGAGAAGGATTAAATCTGACTGCAAACCTTTTGATGGGACGAACCCTCACTGGTGAAGTTTCAGTGGAAACAATTAGAAACCCCCAGCAGCAAGAATCCCTAAAGCATGCCGCCAGAATTATTGATGAGGTGGTTAATTTTCTGGATGATCTAGAAAACGCCAAAAGTCATTTGATGTTGCTGTACAATGCTTGCTTTTCTGAGGTGCTACCTGGGCCTGTTGATCAGAAGTTTCAATCTATAGTAATCGGCTGTGCCCTTGAAGACCAGAAGAAAATTAAAAGAAGATTAGAAATATTGAAAACTCTGACAAGGCCATCAAGCTGTTACAGCATTCTAAGGGTGTTGGTTCCAAACCTTTGCAACAAAATGCTGAAAGCAGATTGAATTCGTTTTGAAACCTACAAGTACTTACTTAACAAATAATGATGTGAAAAATGATAAAATACTATTTTATGTAATAAGTAATTCTGTATGTTAGGTATAACCACTCAGTTGAGACTAAATGTTGTTTCAGATAAGGAAAATATTCTAGTGTTATGAGTTTTGCAAATAACACATTTAAAACTAGAAATATTTTAATTACCTACCTAGTTTTTCAGTTGAATTTTTGTCTTATACTAGGATCTAGCCCCTAATATATACATACATATATATACCTGTATGTATACATTTTTTCTATTCTATGGGTGAATGTGTAGTTGTTGTTGTTAAATGCCGTCGAGTCGATTCCGACCCATAGCGACCCTGTATAGGGTTTCCAAGGATTGGCTGGTGAGCTTGAACCACCAACCTTGCAGTTCAGGGGACTTTGCAGTCTGGCGCATTAACCCACAGTGCCACACCAGGACTCCTGAATGTGTAGTATGTGGTGGAAAATAAGTGCTCAGCTAAGGGCAAAGGGCATCATTGTTCTTCCTGAGTTTTGTCTGGTATGGAAACAAATGGGCACATAGGCACTTAGTCAACTAGGTTTTTACCTTCTGCAGCAGCAGACACTGTATACCTAATGTTAACAAAGCACTTACTGTTCTTAGAGAATAAAAGGAATTGCAAAACAACATTCTTTACCTATGTCCTTTCATTCAGCAAAAATTCTGAAGGCATCTGCATCAATTTTTTTGGAAAGATGTGTTGTTGCTGTTAAGTGCCGTCAAATCAGTTCCAACTCATAGTGACCCTGTGTCGCATTTCCAAGGAGTAATGGTTGACTTTGAACTGCTGACCTTGCAGTTCGCACTAACCTTGAGGTTGAGTACTTATCCTACAGTACCAAACCACCTAAAAACGCTTTAGGTATCTCATAGTATGAATGTATTTTTTTTAAGAGAAAAATTACCTATAATTTCACCAGTGTGTACAATATATTCACCTCATTTTTCAAATGTATCATTTCTATAAAATTTTAATCATTACTAACAAACAAACAATGAACTGAAACATAGTGCAATTGTGAGGATGTGTAGGACCAGTGCCAGAATTCTGTTGGGTCTCTGTGAATTAACTGGCAGAATCTAACAACAATCAGCATCTAACAACAATAAAACAGCAATTCATACTAAGGCGTTAGCTGGTA